AGACTGACCAGTGTCTGAGTCGTAGTTCCGAGTAGGACTGGTGACAGTCCCCCCACTCAAGGGTCTATTAGAATAAGTAGTGGCTGTATATCTGCATATTCAAAGCTCTCTGCATTGTATTTGGTTACCTTATAAAGAGAAGTATATTCTGGGGTTTTGGCTTCAGTCATAGTGGTGAACTCAGAAAGTGAGTCACACGCTAAGCACATAGACTTCCTACAAACTATCTACCAGCGGTCAAAACCAAGAGTTCCCGAATATTGGGTTCAACCCACAGGGATTATACACGCCAAACTCGGAGTTCCCAAAAGGTTCTCAGAGTTCTGACCCTCTGTGCACCCGAATCGCCTAGAGTCTCGGGACCAGAGCAAGCACTGTACGCCAAGGGGTGAAAGTTTCACCGACTTCACCACAAAGTAGCGGGAGCATCTAGGAGGATAAGCCTATGGCAATGAAGTTAGTAAGTTGTTTCTTGATCACTCGTAGAGCATTTAAGCTCCGTCACTTGTGACCTTCGCTCGAATAGTGATAGCGGATGTAAATGTGATTATTTCTCGCTTGGGAAAAAAGTTCTTTATCAATGTCATCGCGTTTTGGTTACTCTTGTACAACATTGCTCTGCACCAATGTCCTTAAATTGGTGATGCATCAATATATCGTCCTTGATGCACTCAAAGAATGCCGTGTACTCAGCATCAGTCAAACTCAGTGCGACCGTCTTCTGGAAACTCGAACGCCACACCTCTGGCGTATCGCATATCATGAGCATCATGCCGCTAGCCGGCATCATTTGTTGCGGTTACCAGTCCGGTCGGCATTAGAAGGTGCTCTTAGTTCCGTTTCCAGTAAATGGACGTAGGTGATATCACCGTCCTTGGTCTTCAACATAATGCGCATTACCTTTATACCAGCATCCCAGGGTCTCATTCCAGGATTCTACAAGAAGCTAATCAACTTGGCAACGGTGACCACAATGTCAAGTCATATACCGCGAGCCAGGTACATGAGGCTTACCGTTAACTCCCGGGAAAGCTTCGATTTATCACTGCCTTGACTTCGTCCGTCTTTGATTCGTTAGCATTGGTCAAATGAACCATATTCTAGTGCGACGAGGCACGACTTTGCGATCTCGTGGCCAACCTTCTTGATGCCTGAATCCACGTAAATTTGCTGACAAATGCTCAATGTATTAGCTCCCATGTTGTAGTAGGTCTCGATCCCGAGAATAATGTGTGCGCGTCCTAGATCCTTGCTCAACAATTTCTTCGGCATCGCTGCCTTGACTGACTGGATGATAATCGTGTCATTTGTCGCAATCGGCAAGTCGTCCACGCAGCGACATAGTATGCATTCATCATCGCCTTCCCCACGTGTGTTGACATATGAGTCGGCATTGGCATCCATGAACATGGTTATGAGGTGTGCGTCGGTCGTTCAGACGTATGATGCCTGTATGAGACTGTATAAGTTCTGCAGCAATGAATACACAATACCACCTTTTCCTTCAGCACCAGTCAAGGTTAGGAGCTCGATGTATACTTCCTCTTCTAGCTTTTCTTAGAGAAATGCAGTATCGGCATCGCACTGCTCGATCTCAAAACCATCGTTGCCGCACTTGGCCAACAGCACGAATATAGTTGTGATAAGCCACCGGTGAGAACGTCTTTTCGTAATTGATACCATCCCGTTGTGAGTACTCATTCGCTACGAGACTGGCCTTGTGTTTGATAATTTTTCCCGTCTCGTTGCCCTTTAAAATGAAGACGCGAGGTCTGCCCATTGGACGCTGGTGGGCTAGACTTGACACCACCTTCCCGAACTTGTTTGCGAGCTAGTGGCTCCAGCTCACTTGGAATTGCCTTCTCCCATTCTGTGGATTACGCGCTAGCCATAGCATCTGCGTACAACTTGGGGACCGCTGGCACACGGACACCGACTAACGTAGGGTGGCCTCCGATGATCAGTGATATGGCTGTGTTCTTGTTGTCACCTTGTGTACCCGATGGCGGGACGGTTACGCTCTCCTGGGTGACGCGTATGACGTCGAACGGTCAAGATGGAGACGCAGGGACTTACGATAGCGTGGAACATCTTCACTCTACCTCGGATCTGTTGATCTCGATCGCAGGCGAGTTCTCAAACCACGACCAAGCTGCCTGGTTGTCGACCCAGGTTTTGGGGGGCCAATACCGGACATGTTGCCCCTTCCTTACGTATGCATATCGCCCCCTGTAGCCGGGAACTTGTTGGGTTGAGATCCGACGCGATCTTCACGCCAAGCAATCAATATCTTCCGATCAATAGGTAACACTTGAGAACAAGTCACTAGGTAGAGGAATGCTGATCAATATATTATCCAGCCTTTAACACTACTCTAGTCCCTACGCTCTTACCGTGTGCGGGCTTGAGAGGCCAATCGAATCCCTGATTCTAAGCGCGGGTAGACTCTTGTGTGGCTTAGAGTAAATTCGAGGCTGTTTACGGTATCCCTATATCCACTAACACATCCTCAGCTACTATATTAGGATCACCTGACATACGGATACCTACATCACCCTGCGATCGGCCGATCGCGATCTCGATCGTGACGTTGGACAGTGACCGCGGTTGAGATCGTGGGCCGTCCACCGGGACGCACAGCTGCTGCCAGGCGGCGATCATAACTCCCCTTCGACGATCCTGGATCACCGCCTTGCCTTTACCTGGGATCGCCGTCCACTCGCGTATCTTGATCGGTAATAGGCATAGCTCCAACGTTGCCATCCCTCTTCGATCGCTGTCTGTTGACTCGCCACGACCCTAGATCGCCGGTCGTCAGCGGCCAATGTCCATCAACCTCCCTTAATCCTGGATATCTCTGACCGAGGCACGGTATAGGTATGTTGCCATCCATCACTCCAGGAGTCAATCTTGGGTCATCCGATAGTCTTGGGTTATCCGAAGTTAACGTCACTCACCGACGTTGTCGCACGCTGGATCTTGGGCAGGTGACCTGATGTTTAGGCCCGAGCGGGATTTATGTCGCCTGATCCATCTCTATCTTGCGATCTAGTAGCCGAGGTTGCCTTTCTCGCGAGATCTTCTTCGCACTTCACCAATATTCCTTGGTCCTGTCACCACCGGTTTCAGGTACTGGGATTCGTTTATACTCGGGCTCGTGATGGAGTCATCATGGGACGTGTGGAAACGTTCGGCACCATCTCCACACCTTTCAATTCGTCATTCTGAAGTTGGGAATATGTCATCACCACTCTCAACGGGTTCAAGCTCCCGTGAGATAACAGGATGTTGGCCACTCAGAGTTGACCCTTCCACAAACTCTTCATCGTCACCCGCTTGGCATGTCCCCAAGCGATTTGTTGTAGTGGTCTCCATGCACTTGACGGTGCGTACATTTTTAAACCTTTCCCGTTGATATGTCCATTACATGATGTCGACGTCATCGTCATACGCGATGGAGCTACACATGAAAGATTTCGGGTCGGGTTTCCGATGCTTCTCGGCGGCAATATGCGCACGTACATGAGCGCGCTGAATACCTTCAAGTTCTTGAGCTGGAGCTTGGTTGGTACCGTTGATAATTTCGTAGGGTGTTTTAACAGGCACTAAGTTTATGACCCACGCAGCCGTGTTAACAGCTTCATCCCGTCACTTCCTGGAAACGTACTCATGGTACTATCTCAATAAAACTCCTGCTCAAGCGCTCAGCGAGGCCTTTCTCCTGAGGTGTGTGTGGTACCGTCTTCTCGTACTTGATATCATGGTGGTTGACGCAACGCTTGCACTGCTGGTCAATGTACTCCCCACCGTTATCCGAACGTAGCTGCTTGAGGGTCTACTTCTCCACGTTCTTAGTTGCTGCCTTGTAGATCTTGAGCTTGGACAGCACATCTTCGATGAATGTGACGACATACTTGCAACCAGCTGTTGGCGTTGTCTGCATCAGAACCACTTCGACCTTGTGCACAAAATATGCATACTTGAACTCTTGACGAGCTTCTTCAGGTTTCTCAGAAAGCAGCCGGCTCGCATCGTGCACATACGACACACATGCCGTTACAGGTGACGCTGTCCGTGCTGCGTGGCACTCCATCTGCCATGACTAGTAGTTGTTCGTAGCGTTTGAACAGGATGTGGTAGAGGCATACGTTCACCACTGCCACGGCTAGGAACGAGTTGTCATGACATAGCCTTTCCTCTAGGACGGTAGCGTTGAAATACACACCGGTCGTTCCTCATCAGCCTTCTTCTAGCGTCACTCAAATTCCTAATTTCCTTGCATCTTGCAGTAGAGGTGCGTGCCACTAAAGCGACGCTTGTCACTGGAGCCCCCCAAAGAAAACAATACTAACATTCGTGTTCCGCTAGCTCAAGATAGGAACACGTCCAGATCACTCGGTGTTGGGAACTTATCGTTCTGAAGGACGACTTGTGCCAAGGAATTTGAGTAGACGTCGGGATCACACATCAGAGGCATAGGAAGCTCTCCAGCACGAAGGAGCCTGTCGTTGTGGAAGTGTTCGATTGGGAACGAGTTGCCGCCGTTGTGTTTCATGATGTTCACCACGATGAGCGGGATGGACAAGTACGTTTTGTTTCAACATAGCTGAGGAAGGCGACTCAAATGCGCCCTGCACTTCTTCAAAAACGTCTTCCAGCTTACGATGCACAGTGGTGGATTGTTAAGACTCGATCGCGTAAAAGAAGCCACAATCTAATGCGTTGTGGTCAGGACTTTGCGCTGGTTGCGTTTTTATGGATATACCCCAACCTCCGGTATTTCCTGATGTGCAGGAAGGGGGATATTTTGGAGTGACTAGTTCGCAAAAAAACTAAAGATGTGATAACCTGGCTAAACCGATTCATTTCGATTTCGACGAGTATAAAAGTTTTAGAGTTTTGATTAGAATACATAGGTCATTTTCCGATATGTGGTAGTAGTAGAAAATATCGAGTCCTCGTCGGTCCTTCCTGAGGGACTGTTTACAAATGCATGCACCACGTTTGAGGAAGACTGCTACAACCAATGGAAAACCGGTGAGAGAATGCTCGATGCCAGATGAGCAGGTGAAATGTGGCTGCCCGAAAACGTCATGATTTACATTATCGGCTACGGAATAGGAGTTTATCTATAGTCTGCCTTGAAGCCAACAACAGTTAAAATTCCTCATATTCAGCATGTTCCCATCTAACACGCCTCTACTTTGCCCTTAAACTTGGGAAAATCGGCTCCAGGTTTTTGTTGGTTGCAAATGCGGTTAAAGTCGCCCTTGCGGATATCCGAAAGGAAGCAGCATTGCTGGTTACCAAAAGTACCTTCAAGGATAAAGCCGGACACCAGGTTGCATGT